GAGAAATGGTCCAAAGAGAGTCATGTCAAATTAAAAAAAAAAAAGGGTCTTATGCCAAATTTTTCATGAAAACAAATTCAATTAAAATGTTTTGGATTTTCTTCTTAGAAATCTTAAAACATGAAAAATAAAAATCATAACTTCTCCCCCCATCTACTACACTACTACCGTGCAAAAGTGAGTAAACGGACTAATAAATATATGCAACCAAAATATGAAACTGAAAAGGAAGAGACCCAGTAAATGAGGATGAAGATATAACTATCATAAAAATAAGGTAATAAAACACAATGGCTTTTAATATTTGATTCAAATTAATATTTAACACTAGCTTAATGACTGAAAGTTAATTAAATGACGATAAAACAGGATGGCAAAACAAAATGTGGCCAGAAGGAAGACATATACCTAACAAGATATCTCAAGATTTAGTAAATTAGCTATGAACAATTCCACTTAAAATAAATAAATGAAATCAGCTTTTTATACAGAACCCTAAATACAGATTTAGGAACCCAATTTTGGCAATCTGTTTTTGAAAAACTTGACTATTTTAACTGAATCCATGCATACTTGGTATAATTCAACTCTGGGTGTTATATTTTATTTTCATAGAAATATGATTTAATTTAAGCATTTCTTAGTCAACTGAATAATTTATTTTAATTCAAGTTTGACTGATTCCGGTATACATTGTTTGTGTAAGTATGGCTCCAAGGAAAATGTTTGCTAAATTAATTACCTATACCAGGGGTCAGTAACCCCTGGCAATTTTGTTTAGTATGGCACAGCTGGTCAGGGCTCTGGGCAACTGCCACTGGCCATAGAGGTAGTGCTGCTTGAAGCAGATGGGTCAGGAGGCTGCAAGCCCTGCTGCAAAGAGCCCAGGCCAACTGTGGCAGGCAGCTGGGAGGTTTCAAACAGCTGCACTGGGCTCCAGAGCCCCAGCCAGGCTGTGTAGTGGCTGCATAGTCTCAGGCCCCTTCCCAGCCCTGAGTGGAGGCATATGTGCAACTGTCATGGCCACAGTGCCTGGCCAGGGCTAGGGGGCCCGGTGCAGCTGTTTGCAGTCTCCCAGCTGCCTGCCACAGCTCACCTGGGCTCTGGGTAGCAGCAGCAGGCAGGCCGCAAACAGCTGCACTGGGGTCCAGAGCCCCAGCACCGGCTGTTTGGCAGCTGCATGCACACCTTGGGGTGCGTGGCCAGGAAGTGGCCTGGACCAGCACAACCCCAGCTCCTCCCCTGCCATCTGCCTGAAGGCATGTATGCAGCTGCTGCCAGTAATGAGAAGCCAGTCACTCCTGGGTCCTCCACCATCTGTCTCGCCAAGTCGAGGCATGGGTGGAGGTTGGGGTGTTTTTGACACTGGCCAAAAGTGTTGCTGACCCTTGACTCATACTAATAATTATATTAAAAAAAAAAACCACAACACACTATCTAGTTTCTGCAATAGTAAAAGGGGTCTTATCTGTTTATTAGAATGTATATGCTGTTCTATCTATCTATTCTATCCTCCACCAGGGTAAGGACTAGTACCCTTCTCTAGGTTGCTCCTCCATGCCCACCTCTTGGCACTGACAGCTGCAGGTAGTACTGTCTACTGTCATAATGGTAGCAGACCTGGCCGGGTATGACCCAAGTTAAGCACTTTTAAAAATAAGCAACCTGAGTCCAAAAGTTACTCAGCACCTCTAGAAGATCAGAAATGAAAACTTAGGGCAAGGGTGGGCAACCCCCAGCATGGGTACCAGATTGCGGCACCCAAAGCATTTTGCTTGGAGCGTACACCTCTGGGTACACGGCAGGGAAGGGGGCAGGGCTGCGCTGCCACAAGGATTCAGCCCCTCGTGGCTCCCCCACCATCCACTCCAGTATGCCAACATCTTACAAGATGAGGTTGCAGGTGGTTTTAGCACTCTGCCCAAAAATGGTGCTGATCCCTGATCTAGGATGTATATTATTAGTGATCCAGTCATGCAAAAAAACCTTAGGCATGTGCTTAACTTTTCCTTTCAGTAGGATTACTCAAGGTGCATAGAGATAAGAATATGAGTAAATTCCTTCCATCCAGGAAGAGCACACACCAAGTGCAGATGCTTCCTCAGCCTGATGGAGGGTATCTATACCTGAAAGCTTGCTAAGAAGAATTTTTCCAACTATGAGTTGGTCTAATAAAAGATATGATTCACCCAATGAACCTTGTCTGCCTATGTCCTTAGACCAACATGGCTACAGCCTGCACCCCTTCCTAAAGCAAAGGAGCTTTCCAAGGTTCAACCTATTTTCTATTAAAATAAAAAAGGTATTACAGCAACAGGCTACCTCGGCAGGTTCTTTTGCTTGCTGCAACCTCATCTTTCTTTCCAAGTCAAACAGTTGAAGCTTCAGATACTGATATTCTTTCTTTAATTGCAGAATGACTTCTTGCGCTTCTTTCAGTTTGTTTTTTTCCTCTTGCAACGCCAGAGCCAATGCTCGATTATTCTCTTGGATGCTTTTGAGCTGCGCAGAACTGCTGGCTGCAAAACAAAGGAGGTTTAGGCAGGACATCAACCAAGCCAATGGCCGCGCTTGGAAACGAAACATTCCAACATCTTTACTTGCTCCTTTTTGCTTTGTGGACAGGATCGGGTTCGCTTTCCCCAGCTTCATCCACTTCTGATTTCTTTTCTCTTTCATTCTCTCCTTTATGTCCTCCAGGCTGTCCTTGAAGGACTTTTTCAAGCATTCTTTCCCAGCCATGGCCTAGCTAAAGAAACAAAGTAGTTAAATGGCAGGGCGGGGCAGGCAGAGATTTCAAGCATGAGCCGCTGCGAAACGAAGTAGGACGTACTCTTTAAAGAAGCCCCACAACGCTTCAGGGAGAACGGACCTTGACAGCAGCTTAGCCACACGCGGGGCTTTCACGGGTTGCTCCTCGGGCTCGGGCCGCGCGCAAGGCCTGGCCCGTGAGCAGCGCCGCCCCTCCCTCCAGTCACCGGGCACCGGACGCTCGGCGGGGCGCGAGCTGACACCTCGCGACAGTTGGCTGCTCTCTCGGAATTCGAAATTCTCCGCCGCGCCTTCCCACTGGTCGACAGGCTCACGTGATCTGGCAGCCGTGACGTCGCCCAGCGACAAACGCCGGCGGGGGGAGAGGGAGGGGCTGGCAAAGAGCAAAGTTGTTATTTACCATCCGGGTCTTTCTGTCCAAACCCCGCCCCGCTCCGCGCCTTCCCCGCCCCGTGGGCGCGGCCGGGCGGGAAGTTCAGGTATCTTGCGCATGCGCAAAGGGGCAGTGCCCCAAACTAGGCGCCGGTGCCTGAGCAGGCTTATCCTCGTCCGGGTGCCTGGCCGCGCCCCTCGTGGCTCCCGCGCGGTGCAGCGCCTCCTCGCGTGCCCTTGGCCGCCCTGCTGCCGGGTCCTGCACGTGTGCACCTGTGGCTTCACTCTTGCGTGATACATACATACACACACACACACACACACACACACACAGCTTTACTCTTGCCTGTCCTGTATGCACACATGCACCTGGCTTTCTTGCTTGTCACGTGCGCACGCACATATGCACGTGGCCTTTGCCTGTCACATACACATGCATGTGTGTGCACACACGGCTTTACCTTTTCCTGTCACACACACAAACACATACACATGTAGGGCTTTACCTTTGCCTTTAATGCCTGCACACACACAGCTTTACTCTTGTCTATCACTATCGCACACATGTGTGGCTTTACCTTTGCTTGTCACATGCATGCACACACAGCTTTACCCTTGCCTATCACACGTGCAGATGTGCACAGACCCCTGGCACCTCCCCCCCGCTTTACTCTTGCTTGTCTCACACACACACACGACTTTCCTCTTGCCTATCACACATGCGCATGCACACACGTACCTGGCTTTCTTGCTTGTCACGTGCACACACATGCACGTGGCCTTTGCCTGTCACATACACATGCATGTGTGCATGCACACACGCATGGCTTTGCCCTTGGCAATCACACACATGTGCACGTGGCTTTACCCTTGCCTGTTACACGCATGCTTACATGGCCATGCTGAATCCCCCTCTCCCACAGCATCTGCCACAATATGAGAGTAAACCCGTGTTGAACACCTAACCCTGACGTCCAGTGGCCAAGAGTTGCTGGGATCCCTGGAGCAGGCTGGGCTGCCCTTTGGCAGTGTCCAGGGCAGGGGCAGAGGGGAAGAGCTTTGTGTTGCTTCTCCAGTAAGGTTCTTTTAAATGTAATGTTCTGGGATTTGGGGCGGGTGTTTGGGGGGTTATGCATGTTTTGGGACAGCCAGGACCTCTCTGTAAAGAGTGTGTGTGTGGGGGGGGGGGGGGGGGGCTGCAGGCTTGGAAGTAGCATTGTGATCCCACTCCCCTGGGGATGCGGCAGGGGAGTGTGAGTGGGTGGGGGAAGCAGGAAGAGGAGTATTATATCTGGATGTAAACAGCAGTTGGGAAGCAGGGCTGGGATCTGCTGCAGGGCTGGCTTCCGTGGCCATTAGGCAGGAACGCTGTAGCTAGGGCTGGGGTGGATGCAATTTTTCAAGTGTCAGCCTGTGGTTTGGGGAGTGAATTGTTATTACCTGGTTGTGGGTTGTCTGTTCGTTGTAAGCTCCTCTGAGCCTTTTGGATAGGGCAGGACAGATACCTAAATAATAACCAGGGATTCTGGTTTTCTCTGGTTTAGAAATTACAAATTCTCTGATAAAAATGCAAATATTCCAATTTAAAAACCCTAAATCTGTGACTAAAATGAAACACCACTCTCTCTCTCTCGCTATATATATAGAGTTATCAATTGAACACAATGTCTTATTGATGTATTCACAGTTTTAAAGCAATTTGGAAGCCTACCAGTGCCTCAATCACTATAACAACATAAATAATAAGTACTGTACCCAGGACCATCCCTGGGGGGGTGCTAATCGGGGTGACTGCTCTGGGCCCCGCACTTTGGGAGACCCTGCGGAGCCAGGCAGAGTGATGCGGCTACTCCGTGCTGCCGCTGGCTTCACGTCTGGCTGCTCAGCAACCCCCAGCTGCCAAATCCGCCGGCAGCTTCCTCGTGTCTGGGGTGGGGGGCCTGCACAGGCTAATTTGCCTTGGGCCCCGTAACCTGCTCGGGTCATCTCTGACTGTATCTATATATTTTGGTATTTGATTTTTGTTTTTTATCATAGAAAATCAGAGACAGCCCTGCTCCCTTCACTCACCAGGAAGCAGGCCCAGGTGCCTGACTCCCAGGCCACAGCCACCATGCATGACTGGTGCCTCCTGAATCTGGGGGGGCACCCATAGAAGCTGGTAGCCCTGTCAGGGGGAGCACCAGCCCTACTGTTGCCCAAACGGCTAGTTTCGTGCCCCTGGAGGCTAGACCAATTCCACCTCAAGGAGAGAGTCACACCCAGGGTGAGTCCATCATGAGTTTATTGATTGCGCAAGCAATGTCAGCAGAGGAGCTGATGCTCAAAGCAGTGTTGACCCCCAAATTTCTCTCGGGGTTACACTTTTATAGCTTACATAAACAAAGGGCTACAACGTGTCATACAACTATTGGCAGTATCACAATTTCCTTGTTGTTATGTCTTATCTTATGGGCTAGGCTTAGTTTGCTATTGGTTAATATCTCCTGTTAAGTTTAGTGCATGCGTATTTCAAAAGCAGAACTGGGGCAAAAAGTTCTGTCGCATGCGCAGAGGAAAAGGGGAACTGCGGCAAAGTTAGTGTCTTTTAGTAACCTTATACCTTAGTTTAACTTCAGGGCATTATGCAAGTATGGCTACAAAATGCAGAGCAAGCAGGAAGGAAAAAGAAACCCACAACTCAGACGTTAGGCCTTGTGCTTCCTACACAAGGGATCATGAGGGCCTCATGAGGGACTCATACAGCTATTACTCAAGTGAGGCCCAGGTCATAATGTATTTTTACCACACTACTGACAGTATCAGTGTCAATCGTCAGGGGGGGCACCAGCCTCATTGGGGGGTACATGCACCCCCTACCAGATGGTGCCCCTCACTTTCTGCCACAGCCCTTGCCCCCTCTCACCCTGCTGGAGGGGACCCCAGCTGCCAGGGCTACAGGGCCAGGAACCCAAGTCTGCAGCCCCTTGCCTCCTCCAGTAGTGCCCGAGCCCCAGCTGCCACCCACAGGTGATGATAGCTGCTGTGACTGAGCAGAGCGTGGAGCCCAGCTCCCTCTTCCCCACGGGCGGCATGGACAGAGTGGACTCCGTGGTGGGGTGGGTGCAGGCTGCCCATTGTGAGCTTGGGATCCCTGCTGCCCTCCCCCTGGGGCCTCCCACGGCCCAGTGGATGGGACCCGGCATGACAGGCCAGAGCGGGGCTGGCTGGGGAAGCTCGGTGCCACCACCACAAACCCTGCCCTGGCAGCAGCAGGGATGGCAGCGCAGGGTTGTCCCCCTCGCTGCTGCCAGGTGAGCAGGGGGTGCTTTGCCAGGGTGGCATGGGGCTCCCAGCAGCAAGGAGCTTCCCTGCCTGGCCGCACTTTGCCCTGCTGTCCCCAGTCCCAGCCACTGGGTTGCAAAGGCCCCAGGGGGAAGGCAGCAGGGTGAGGAGCCTGAGCCCACAGCAGGTAGCCTGCTCCTGCCCCCACCCCGCAAGCACAGATCTGGGGGGCACATGCCTCCCCTGCCCCTCTCCTGGGAGTGCGTGCAGTGGTGGGGAGCCAGCCCCGCACCCCTAGATGAGCCGCCCACGGCCCTGTCCCACTCCCTGCCCAGGCCCTGCGGCTGAGCGTTTCGGCCCTGGGTCCCAAGCCCCATGCACCACTCTGGCTGAGCAGCAGGCCCCAGTCCTAGCCCCAGCCCTGCTCAACTCCTTCCCTCCCTCCTTATGGGGGGGCCCTCAATTCTCCCACCAGATTTACCTGCGGGGAGCTGCTTTCCAGGGTGCCTGGCGGTTATGTCCATGTATAAGTGCATACATGCACAGGACGCCCCCTGCCTGACCGCCCTCTGCCACTCCCAGCCTGCAAAGAGCTTTTTGCAGAAGTGGAAAATCCACGCGTTTCTCTGTTAAAATGAAAAATCTGTGTTTTTCTCGCTTAAAAAGGGAAATCTAAATTTTTTTTGTTTTTCTATGGAAAACAGGAAACCCAGATCCTGATAATAAGACTCATTAAGTCTTGATAGTTTCCCAAATAAAACCACGGAAGTGCTTGGGAATGCGACCTTCCTTCAGTGTCGCCGCTGATACAGGGTTTGAATTAATTAAAAAGCCCAAAAAAGTTTTGGGGTAGAAGCAGGTTGAAGAATTACTTACATTAGCAGACAGTACCAGGGCTGGTTCAACGAGCATGGGGAATTTAAGTGAAGACTTATTATTTATACAACTAGTTGTCTTTTTTGTCAGTCCTTCGCAGTTGAGGATGATTATCTTCCATGATTGTCTTATCTGTGTGTCTGAAGATGGCTGATGAGGCCTATCTGTTGTCCCCAAAGGACAGTGAGTTCGTGCCCGGTGCGCTTGTGCCAATAAACACACAGGGGTGAAGGATCCAACTTAATCTTTATTTCTGCGCAGAAAGCGGTGCTTGGCAATCGTTCGCAAAGCAAGCACCCACACCCCAGTGGGCGTCTGCCTTATATAGCTACGTAACAGGTTAAACTTGCTGATGTGATGAAATGTGTAGCAAGCCCAGCAAGTAACCCCCCTTCCAGCTCCCCCCCAAGTAACCCCCCTTCCAGCTCCAGAACTTTGTTGATACAGCTTTTCCTCTAGCGAGGCCAGCAATTAAACAACTAAGCAACAAGCGATCTCCCCCAGCCTAAACAACCTACTCTATGCCCTTGGTTAGATAAAATACTTTTTCAAAACATACAAAGCTGTTCC